CGTCAAATTTCCTGCTCCTCTGATGCTGCCTGGCCTGCTGTGTTCCTCCAGCTCCACATTGTGTTGTCCCTGAATTTTAGCGAGAACTTTTTCCGAAACAATATTACACTTCAATTTTCTCTGTCTTAGATTCGTTCAGCATGGAAACTGACCATGGGGTTCAACTCGTTCATGCCAACCAGACATCCCAGTCTGACATAGTCCTATTTGCCATCATTTGGCCCATATCCCTCTAAACCCTTCCTATTCATATACTCATCCAGATACCTTTTAAAATGTTGTAATTTTACCAGCCTCCACCATGTCCTCTGGCAGCTTGTTCCATACACACGCCACCCTAATCATGAAAAAGTTAACCCTCAGGTCCTTTTTAAAACTTTTGCTTCTCACCTTAAAACCCTATCCCCTCTAGTTTTGGACTCCCCACCCTAGGAAAGAGAAACTGGCTATTTTTGCCCTTCTGTAAGGTCACCCCTCAGCCTCTGACACTCCAGAATAAAATGCCCCAGCCAATTCAGCCTCCCCTGATAACTCAAACCCTCCAGTCCTGGTAACATCCTCATAAATCTTTTCTGCACCATCTCAACTTTAACGACATCCTTCCTATAGAAGGGCAACCAGAATTGTACGTAGTATTCCAAAAGTGGCCTCACCAATGTCCCGTACAGCTGCAACATGACATCCTGACTCTAATACTCAATGTTCTGACCAATGAAGGCAAGCGTGCCAAATGTCTTCTTCACCACCCTGTCTACCTGCGACCGCACTTTCAAAGAACTCTGCACCCCTAGGTCTCTGTTCGGCAACACTCCCCAGAACTTTACCATTAACCTGCCCTAGTTTCCCTTACCAAAATGCAACACCTCGCATTTGCGTAAATTAAACGCCATCTGCCACTCCTTAGCCCATTGGCCCATCTGACCAAGATCTTGTTGTACCCTAAGATAATCACTTTCACTGTCCACTACACCAAATACTTCGTTGTCATCTACAAACTTATTAACCATGCCTCCTATATTCACATCCAAATGATTTACATAAATGCCTAAAGCAGTGGACCTAGCACCAATCCCTGTGGCACACCACTGGTCACAGGCTTCCAGTCCGAAAAGCAACCCTCCACCACCACCCACCGTCTCTTACCTTCAAGCCAATTTTGAATCCAATTGGCTAGGTCCCCTGGATCCCACGTGATCTAACCTTACTAACCAGTCTACCATTACCATCATCCTGAGAGTTATCATTGGTCGGAAACTCAACTGGATGCACCACATAAATATAGTAGCTACAAGAGCAAGCCACACACTATGAATACTGCAGCGAGGAACTCACTTCCTGACTCCCCAAAGCCTGTCCACCATCGACAAGGCACAAGTCAGTAGTGTGATGGAACACTCCCCACTTGCCTGGACGGGTGCAGCTCCAACACTCAAGAAGCTTGACACCATCCAGGACAAAGTAGCCCGCTTGACTGGCACCGCATCCACTGACACTCAACAGCAGCAGCGAGTACTATTCACTAGATGCACTGTAGAATTACGATCACCGGCGCCAAAGTGCTTCCCCACTGACACCTCAGTCACTTGCCCTGCCCTATTTCCATACAGAAGGAAATGTATTGCTCTTCCTCTAGTAGGTAGATCCACATATTGAATAAGAAAGTTTGTACACGCTTAAATTCCTCCCCACCCAACCCCTTAAAATTATGAAAGTCCTGTCTATTTTTGTAAAGTTAAAATCCTCTACCATTATAACCCTACTTTTCTCACAGATATCCAAGATATTTGCTTCTCAATTTCTCGTTGACTATTGTGGAGGGGGGGCTGCTGACAATACAACCCCAAATAGGTCATTATCCCTTTCTTATTTCTCAGTTTCACCCATATAACATCACTGGACAGTCTCACAGGAATATTCTCCCTAAGTACAGCCATAATGTTATCCCCTCCTCTCTTGCCTCCCTCTCTATCCCTCCTATGGCATCTATACCCCAGAACATTAAGCTACCAGTCCTGTCCATTCGTGAACCGTGTTTCAGTAACAGCCCTTAATATTCACTAGAGACTGAAGTGCACGAACCACCTGATGCAGAGATCGCAGCCAAGCAATACTGCAACAAAACTGCCATTGAGGTAAAGCCAAGATGGCTCTCCATCTTTATGACTTCTCTTACCTGATTGCAGTTTCTACATGTGAACAAATTTTGGGAGGATCTGTGACATTACCGTAATTTGTGACTGAAGCTGTTCATTTCCTTGGCTCACTATCCAGTGCCTCTGGCAAGAACAGCATGGGGTTCAAGTGAGAGACACAGGTGAATGCCCTTACTGACATATACATCACACTGATGGAAAGAGACGTAGCCCCAGAAAGAATCAGCTTGGCAGAAGGCATTTTGTGTGTGGAAGGATTTGCATTTGGGTGGGCTAAAGGATACTCACTGCTCGTGCCTGCGCCCTCTGCTGTTGCTGTTTCTGCAGCTCTTGCTGCATCTCCAATAATGACTTGACAGACATTGACTGCTTGGGGAGATTGTTCCAGCCAGGTGACTTCTGCTGCTGGTGCTGTTGAAGGGCTTTCATTATCTCCTGTTGCTGACGACACTGCTGCAACAGAGAACATTAGCATTTACAAACGGTAGAGCACACGCATTATCAAGCCACAACAATGTTCTTTTAACATCACAGACGGTTGACAGGTATAGATGGGAGCAGCCTGAGCTGGTGCTGACTTATGCCCAACAGACTTATGCACACCAAGCTATCACTTTGTCTGCAGAATAACTACGGATTACATTCTACATGCAGAAATCTAGTACAATCGATTCCTTAATACTATTCAATCTATGGCTGCACACATTGATGTCAGCCTGATTTTAGAAGTCAAGAATGAGAGTCCTATTACTAGACTACATCAGCCTATACAGGTTACAGTATGGCATTGCCTTGTGTAAAATATTTGCCCTTGTTTTCAAGTTCCAACAAGGTCTTGCCCTTCCTCATCTGTGATCACCTGTGACCCTATAAATCTCCAAAATGCCTCCTGCTCCTCAAATTTTAGACTCGTGAACACTCCTGGTTTTAATTGGTGCATCACTTTAGCTTTCTGGAGGTTCAAAGCTCTGAAATTTGCCTCTCATTCCTCCCCTCCTCACTTCTTACTGACTGAGCTTTGGAACCCTCTTAATATCGCATTAAGAGGCTTGGTATCAAATTTTGGTCAATTGCACACATGAAGGGCCGAGACATTTGGACAGGTTAAGGGCGCCAGAGAAATGCAAGCTGCTTTTTTGTTGACTACAACAAATAGAAGTCAAAGCTGTTCACTAGCTTAGGAAAGGCATCCAGCAAACTAAATAGCACAGGACATACTGTGGTGGGCTCAGTTCACAGCGTGCACTGGTTGGCTGAGTTCAGGAGAGTGAAAGGTGTTACAAATAGTCTTAATAATCAGAATAGGTTAGGAGGAGGGTATTCCTGCTCAGAGTTCTCTACTCACTGACCTCAAAGTGGAGGACAGGGTCAAGCCTGTCTGCAAGTCAAAACACCCTGCTGGTTTCCACACCAATTTGAAGTCTCTCAAGATTAGTGCTCACTTAGACAAAGTGGAGAGAGCTCCTGCCATACCCCACAGACAGGAGAATTTACTTGTTGTGCAAGACTGCAGAGCAGAGCCTGAAGGCATTTTACGCCCCTGGGGTGGAATCACTTTCATCCCGCATTAGATTACCATGTGATGGAAACTCATGTACACTTTGAAAGGCTGCAATTCAGACAATGGCAATTCTTGGCAATATAAAGCAATCTACACCAACCTCAGGACCCTTCTGTATCAGAAATACCAGCTTCATTGATGCCTCAGTGGCCACACATGCACTACTTTGACAAAAGAAATATTGGCCACATTGAAACACCTGCTAGCTTATCCAATGACCATTTAAATGCCCTTAAAGTTGGCGAGCTTCTTTCATTTGTCTCCACCAGGAACAGCAGGCAGGAAGCAGAGATCTTCCTTAGAATTCCAGTGACAGAGCTGGGATACAAATCAGTGTAACCACAGCAGACGAAACAGATGTCCAGGAATGTCAGGCAAGGAAAGGAACAGGCTCACCTTGGCAATAGATATGTTCCCGTACAGGCTCCCAGACTGCAAAAAGCAAGCAACATGGTAGCACACAAGTATATCCTTGCTTTGAACAAGCAAATGGGTACTAGATTTATATAGAATATCTGGTCAGCATGAATGAGTTGGACCCAAGGGTCTGTTTCCATGCTGTATACCTCTACGACTCTAAGTGCATTCTTACCTCCTCTCTGCGGTGTCGCTCCCTTTCTTCCTCCAGCTTCTGAAGCGGTGGTACCGAGTTGGACTGCTGCCCCCATGAAGTAGAAGAGGGGATCTGATGAAGAAACAACAGTTCATTTCAGACATGGCAACATTTAGTGACACAACATCACCAACATAGAAACCGATCATTCAGTCCAACAGGTCTGTCTGTCCTAGTGGCTATGTCAGTGAACCAATAAACCAGCAGCGCAGGGTCATGGTTTCAAATCCCACTGTAGCAACTCGAGGAATTTAATCAGTTAACAAACTGCTAAGTGATCTTAGAAACCATTACTGTTAGTTATTAAACATCTAGTTACATTTCAGAGAAAGAAACCTACCATACCTACCTGGTCTGACCTACACACGAATCCAGACCGACAGCAACATGGTTGATACCGAACTGCTCTCTGAGAACGGCCAAGTTAGCCATGCTTCAAGGCCAATTAAGGGATGGGTAATAAATGCTGACCTCACCACTGAGGTCCTTCATCCAATTCCCAATATTACAAGATTAGCAAATTTCATAGAATCCTTCCCCTTAAGATAGCTCCCAGGAAGACATGCATTGTCATACAGAAGGGGAGAGAATAAAAATCCACGAGTCCTTTTGACATGGCCCTTTCACTTGCTGCAGGAAACGGTGATAACGCCGTTCTGTCGACATTATTGTGTCTTCTGAAGAGTGAGAGAGACAGTTAACATCAGTTCACTCAGAATCCACATCCATGGTCAGAGGCCCAGGATACATGGATCAGCAAGTTTGTAAGAGGCCAGTGGTAAAGGATAACTGTATTACAAATGCCAAGGGTACAACTACCACTAGATTGAGACAAGCTCAGATGAGTCAGGCTCATCTCATTCAACAAACTGCAAGGAGATTTTGATCCCAGCAGTCTAATGGGAATCAAATCCAGGACTTTTGATAAGCACGGAGATCCAGTTATGCAAGTTTCTAGCCAGTTCCAGAGGCACTGGCAGGTGAGTGGTACCTTTATGTGTGCTAATTGCTGCTGCTGTTGTAAGCGCCTCAGAGCCTCTTGCTGCTGCCTGTGTCGCAGCATCTCCTGCTGCCGCTGAAGCTGCAGATCCATTTCCTTGCGTTTCCGTTCCTCCTCCTCGGCAAGCCTGCGCCTGGCTTCCTCCTCCAGTTGGCGCCTGCTCTCCTCTTCCTCCAGCCACCGGCGGGTTTCATCCTGCTGCCTCCTGTCTTTCTCCTGAACAACAAGGCGTGATGACATAGAGCAGATGAGAAGAGAAGCACAGATGCATTTCAGGTGAGGCTGAACACGTGGGACAGAGGGAAGGAAAGGAGGACTTGCATTTATGTAATAACTTCCACGATCACAGAGAATCAAAGTACTTTACAGCCAAAGTATTTTTGACTCAGCTGCTGTTGGAAACGTGGCAGCCAATTTGTGCACAGTAAGATTCCACAGCCATGATTGAATGGTGGAGCAGAATTAAATCCTTTGTCCTATGTTATGGTTTTATAAGCAATGTGATCATGACCAGGTAATTTTATTTTGCGACGATGATTGTGGGATAAATACTAGCCAGAAAGAACTCCCCAGAAAGAATGCCATGGAATATTACACATCTTTCCAAGCAGGGAGACAGCACATCCAAGAGTGCAGCTGCACCTGAGCATCAGTCTCAATTTTCCAGAATGGGACTTGTTAACCTGGGATCTCATGACTCAGAGGGGAAAGTGCATACAACTGAGCTCAAGGTTGCTTGGATGACAAAAAGTAGATGGAGGCGGCCAGGTTGCAGCTTCATCAAAACGTCTGATAGGGCTTGCCTCAATATTGCAACGTCTAATGTGGATTTATAATAATTTCCCAGTGTCCAATCTGTCAATAAGATACTGTAAAAGGAAGCAGCAGCATGGGGTAGGCAGTGCAGTGGAACCACTAACACACTCCATCACTAACAGGGCTCTCAGACTTTCTAACCTACCCTTACATGTAGGGAACTAGAAAATGAAGAGGAAAATTTATATGGGAACATAAATCATTTTTTCCTATGTGGGATACCATCTACAATAAGCACCACTTCCACCACTCTCTTGCAATACTTCGAATCTTAGTGAGACCAAATCCAGAGCACTGTGTATTTTTAGTCTCCTCAAAGGAATAGTTGCATTAGGAGTAGTTCATAGAAGGTTCCTGGGATAAAGGTGCTGGCTTATGAAGAAAAGTTGAGAGTGGACCTTACATTTCCTCATTTTTTTTTTTCTAATGTGCTGACATTTGAGGTCTATGCACTGCAGCAACTTCTGAAATTTGGAGTCAATGCTGGGAAATGCACCAACTTTTGGAGTGGCTGCACAGTCGCACAGCTTAGAGGTTGAGCCTATATCCATTGGAATTTAAACAAATGAGGGTCGATCTGCCTAAAAGAAATTCAAAATTGAGGAGATTTGACAGGGTAGATATTGAGACAGTATTTCCCTTTGTGCAGGGATTAGTTTAGAACTACAGGACATGGTTTAAATATTTGGAGTTGCTCTTTTAAACAGAGATGTTAGCTTAAATTGGAAATGTTTTGAAATGCAGATGAAGAATCTTTTTCTCATGAGGGTTGGTAGAATTCTCTTACTCAGACAGCAGTGGAGGCTGAGTCATTGCGTACACTGAAAATCAAGTTAGAGAGGTTTTTTGACTGACAAGGGAATTGACGTTTCTCGGGTGAAGGCAGAAAGATAAAGTTGTGGCCACAATCAGATTAGTCACACTATTACTGAGTTGCAGAGCAGGATAGAACATAGAACAGTACAGCACAGTACAGGCCCTTCGGCCCACGATGTTGTGCCAATCTATTATCCTACTAAGATCAATCTACCCTGCATACCCTACATTTTACTATCCTCCATGTGCCTATCCAAGAGTCGTTTAAAAGTCTCTGATGCATCTGACTCTGCTACCACGGGCGGCAGCGCATTCCACATGCCCACCACTCTGTGTGAAGAACCTACCTCTGACATCTCCCCTATACCTTCCTCCATCCACCTTAAAATTGTGCCCCCTCGTAATAGTCATTTCCGCCCTGGGAAGAAGTCTCTGACTATCCACTCTATCCATGCCTCTCATCATCTTGTAAACCTCTATCAAGTCACCTCGCATCCTTCTTTGCTTCAATGAAAAAAGCTCTAGCTCCCTCAACCCTTCCTCATAAGACCTGCCCTCCAGTCCAGGCAGCATCCTGGTAAATCTCCTCTGCATCCTCTCTAAAGCTTCCACATCTTTCCTATAATGAGGTGATCAGAACTGAACACATTATTCCAAGTGTGGTCTAACCAGAGTTTTATACAGCTGCAGCATAACCTCACGGCTCTTAAACTCAATTCCCCTGCCAACGAAAGCCAACACACCATACGCCTTCTTTACAACCCTATCAACTTAGGTCGCAACTTTGAGGGATCTGTGGACGTGGACCCCAAGATCCCTCTGTTCCTCCACACTGCTGAGAATCCTGCCATTAACCCTGTATTCTGCATTCATATTCAACCTTCCAAAATGAATCACTTCACTCACTCTCTTCTGGGTTGAATTCCATCTGCCACTTCTTTGCCCAGCTCTGCATCCTGTCAATGTCCTGTTGCAACCTATAACAGCCCTCCACACTGTCCACAACTCTACCAACCTTCGTGTCATCGGCAAACTTATTAACCCACCCTTCCACTTCCTCATCCAAGTCATTTATAAAGATCACAAAGAGCAGAGGTCCCAGAACAGATCCCTGAGGAACACCACTGGTCACCGAGCTCCAGGCTGAATACTTTCCATCTACTACCACCCTCTGCCTTCTATCGGACAGTCAGTTTTGTATCCAGACAGCCAAATTTCCCTGAATCTCATGCCACCTTACTTTCTGAATGAGCCTACCACGTGGAACGTTATCGAATGCCTTGCTAAAATCCATATACACCACATCCACCTCTCTACCTTCATCGATGTGTTTTGTCACATCCTCAAAGAATTCAATAAGGCTTGTGAGGCGTGACCTGCTGACTATTTCTAATCAAACTGTGCTTTTCCAAATAATCATAAATACTATCTCTCAGAATCCTCTCCAATAATTTGCCCACCACAGAAGACAGACTGACTGGTCTGTAATTTCCAGGATTATCCCTATTCCCTTTCTTGAACAAGGGAATAACATTTGCCGCCCTCCACTCTTCTGGCACAACTCCAGTGGACAGCAAGGATGCAAAGATCATTGCCAAAGGGGCATCAATCTCTTCCCTCGCTTCCCGTAGTAACCTTGGGTATATCCTGTCTGGCCCAGGGGACTTATCTATCCTGATGTTTTTCAAAATTTGTAGCACATCCTCCTTCCTAACAACAACCTGCTCAAGCATATCTGCCTGTTTCACGCTGTCCTCACAAATGTCAAGGTCCCTGTCACTGCTGAATACTGAAGTAAAGTATTCATTAAGGACCTTCCCTACCTCCTCTGACTCCGCACACAAGTTCTCTCCACTGTCCATGATTGGCCCGACCCTCACTCTGGCCATCCTCTTGTTTCTCACGCAAGTATAGAAAGCCTTGGGGTTTTCCTTGATCCTACCCGCCAAGGTTTTCTCATACCCCCTTCTAGCTCTCCCAAGTCCATTCTTCAGTTCCTTCCTGACTACCTTGTCGACCTCTAGAGCCCTGTCTGATCCTTGCTTCCTCAACCTTAAGTAAGTTTCCTTCTTCCTCTTGACGAGGTGTTCAACATGTCTAGTCATCCAAGGTTCCTTCACCTTACCATCCTTTCCTTGCCTCAGTGGGAGGGTCCAAAATTGCCTATTCCTGCTCCTAACTCGTGTTTTTGGGAATGTAGAAACACAAAAGATAATGTAAGTATATTATTTTCTACAAGGTTCGGAGATGGTTGGTTGGGATGAGGACTTCAGAGGTGAGGGTGGAAAAGTGAAGGCTCTTCTCAGAGCAGAGGGATTAAGAAATGAACAATAGAGGTTGTCAAGATTATTGTGGAGATAGAAAAAATTATTTCCTCCGATAAGTGCATCAATAAAGTATGAGTGGACTGCCTTATAGGAAACTACATGAAACTGATGGGCCAAATGGCCCCCTTCTGTGCCATGAGTAACTACTTTCTATAACCAGAGACTGAAGATTTAAAATCATTTGTGAAGGGGGAAAATTTATATATTTTCCTCGCCCACTCAGTTACAGGATCCAATCTTTACCTGAATAAGGTAGCGCTAATTGAAATCATCAATTGAGGACGGGGAACTTGCATGGTTACAGAACAAAGAATTACTCTTTCTGAAAGCCAGCAGTGGCACAACAGGCCAAGTGGCCTCCTCCTCTGTTATAGGTTTCTATCATCTGAAGCGGCAAAACACAGGTCTTTTAAATAAAAAAGGCAATATCACACCAGTCTGAACTTTGCTCTGTGAAAATCCTGGAGAATGCTGCATGCGTTGTGGGTGCGCAGAGATCTTGCAGCAAGATCTCTGTGCACCCACAACGCACACAGCAATTACAGGGCTCCATAAATGTGGCCTCTTTATTTCTCAGTCTTTGCACAAGTCACTGAACTGAATGAAGAGGCTTGATGGGGACTGAAGGGCCAGTAATTCATCTGCCTGTTGCAGTGTAAAGGAGGGTTGCCCAACACACATACCTCACCACTCCCAACACGAAAGGCATAGCAAATCACCTGCTTTCGGAGGATGTCCTCCATCTGCCGTCTTTCTTCCTCATCACGTCGCCTCAGGGCCTCCTCTTGTCGGCGATCCTCTTCTTCCCTTTGGCGCCGGGCAACCTCCTCCTGCTGTTCCCTCTGAAATCGGACCACCTCTTCCTGGAAAGAAAGAGGTCAGTTACTCTGGGATGTGGCCGGTTTAGCTGGCTACGGACTGTGAATTGAGAAGCCTGCCTCCTCACACCCCTCCAACTTTCTGCATCCAAAAGCAGACAAACAGCAACAATCTAGGGTGGTTTTTTTGTGATCTAGCATGTTGGGCAGCAAAACCTAGTTATACATGAGTCCCAACTTCCTCCTCAAAAAAGGGACAGAAACACACTAGATAAAGGGGAGTGAAAATGATAACAGATAAATGCAACGGAGTTGATCAAATTTCCTACCTGCTGGCTTGCTGCCAAACAGTTGGGAGATTGCAAATGGAGACATCAATAAGAAAAGAAGTCAAGAGAATCTTGTAGTTGCACCATTAGCCACAGGAAGGAACAGAATAATCTTGCATTACCTAGGCCCCTTGAGAAGGGCAGTTGCACATATTTTTCAGTAACATCATCTGAAAAGTGCCTGCAAACCACACATCAGCCTGACTTGGAATCATACCATCAGCAGTGCTTCATCTTGGCAAGGCCCTCCTCAAATGCCACACCATGAGCATCAGCAAGAGAAATGCATGGTTTGAGAAGGAATAGTTTTCCCTTGAAAATATACAATCCACCTCCCTACTCTCCCCTTGAACCCAGATTTTCCCTTGCCAACTCATGCAGGGCACAGCTCCTAGACTGGCAGCCAACTCTCTGGCTGTTGCATCCGAGTGGCTATTGCTCACAAGAGTGTCAGCACGTGGTCTGACCATAGATGAACTGCACCAACACTCTAATCCTGCCGTGGCTCAACAGAAACGGGCACTCACCCAGCAGGTGTCAATAACCAACAACCAGGAGACCAAAGTTCACCCATATGCTCACTCCTCTTACCAATCCAGGGATACACAGGCCTTCCAGATAACCACAATGCAACTTGGAACAGCTCCCAGTGAACAAAAACTTGGGACCTTCTAGGCTAGACAACTCTATATCCACTGTACAATACATCAAGTCTGGAACAATTGCTAAAAGCCTAGGTCACCATAAGAACGCAAGAAATAGGAACAGACTAGTAAAGTTCTTCAGCCTGCTTTGCTGTTCAATACATTCATTACTCGTCTTCAGTTTCACCTCCACTTTCCCACCCAATTATCAAATTCGACAATTCAACACTGTCTATCCCAGGCTCAAATACACTCAACGTCGGAGCACTCAACTCTTTTGGGCTAGGGAATTCCGAACACTGTGATAAGACACTTCTCATTGGAGACCTTAATGATTGACCCCTAATCCAGAGACCAATCTTTGTGGTCCAGAGTGTCCAGCTAGCAGAAACAACTTTCAGTGTCGGTTTGACACTTCTGAGAGACCACATTATTCTTCATAATTCCAAGAGTTTTGGTCCCATTTACTCAGCCCTGAAGGACAATCTGAGGGCCAATCCAGTCAACTTCGACTGTACCCTAAAGTACAGAGACCAAAATGGTACTGAATATTCCAACTACGGTCTCAACAAAACCCTGTACACGTGCAGAAAAAAAGTGTTTTTGCTGCACTCCAACCCTATTGCAACGAAGGTCAGCAAGCCACTTGTCTTAATTGCCTGTTATATCTGAACTTACATTGTTCATTTCTCCCTGTACAAGTACACCCAAGTCTCTGAATACTGCACACCAGTTTCATGCCTGTTAAAAACTCTGCTGCCGTTCTATTCTTATGAAGAAAGTGCACAACCTCACACTTCTCCACCTGTCCACTATCTTGATACCTATTCATTAACCAGTTTCTGGCTGAAAAAGCAAAAACAAATCACGAATCCATAGATCAAGAAACCTACGAAAGAAACCATAAAAGTCAGGGATTTAGGAGTGGTTTAGGGCAATAGAAACTATAATCGGGCACACATTACCTGCTTCCTCCTAGTTAGCTCATCCTCATCCCGACGTTTGCGTTCTTCCTCTTGCCACCGGATTTCATCTTGCCGTTTTCTGTCATCCTCTTCCCTTTTATTCCTGAGTTCAGCGTCTCTTCGCTCCTGCTTTAGCTGAACAAACAACATTCCAGTTACCCAAGACAATCTGGGGAGAGGTTTCCCTCATCAATACAATTCTCAGAGTCTGGAAGCACTCGCGTCCTGAAAGGATGACAAAATGTGGCGGCACAGACGATCCACATTGTACACTTTACCCACTCTGCTTCGCCTGAATGTACATTTGAAAGTTTCTATCTCTGCCCAGATGAGTGGGGGACAGGGGAAGGGTTGTTAACTTCCAGGATCTTGCCATGTTTTGTTCCAGGGTAGGACTTTGATGCCAGATCTAACCAACTTCCACACCCATGCCAAGTGAAACTACTCCAAAGTGGTAAAGTAACTGTAGCCTCACAACCTGTTACAGGTCATCGAACATTGTGCGCAGGGAGTAGGGGATGGGAGCTGAAGAGTAAAAGCTTTTATGTTATCAAAAAATCCAATATGGCTCAAAACAAGCACAGTTGTGCTCATTTCACAGAGTGTCCCTCTAAACTGCTTTTTTGAAACTGGAGTTAGCACCCTCAGTGCCCCATCCCCTGATTCCAGAAATAATACATCTGTTTGAGAGTGCACACAACGCACATTTGAACACCAGTCTTATTACCTTCCTATGGAATCATTTTACTAGCATTCTTTTCAGAAACAAACAGCTACAAGCTCCAGTTAATTCCAAAGCCTAGAATTGGAAAATATTTAAACAAAGCAATTAGCTCACCAGTACAGTTAACAGTGAAAAGCCAAGGTTCCTGTACCTGATCAACAGCCAGCAAAAGATTGGTAGAAGTGTGGAGTTGTGATCTGGTTCATCTGCAATACTTTCCATGTTGTATCTACTGCCATCACAAACTGTCTGGGACATGCATGAGGAATGGACACAAACCACAAGATCCAGATGCCCCCAATTCACATCAGTGCATGAACAAGCATAGAGGGTTGGTGTAGGAAGAGGAAGGAGACTCTCTCTCACTGAAGGGAAATACCGGTTGTTTCACTAGTTTTGCAAAGACAATGTTTATTAAGAGGTTTTGGGCAAAATGCTTACCCTAGACAGGAGGGTCGCCTTTACAGAATACCTCTCATTAACTTGTTTCATGGCCAGATAGTTGTAGAAGCAAATCAGCATAACACTAAAATATCAGGTTCAAAATGTTCAAGATGAACTGCACACTTCTTGGGACTGTGTTTGAAGCTGTCATATTAACATGCAATAGATTTCAGACATATACCTTGCTCAACAACAATCTCAACTTATTTGGTTCTGCAAACACTAACAGGTATATATGAACTCAACAAATTAATACAGACTAACACTCCTGGCAATCTTCAATGGACACTGACACTTGCACCAGGATCTTGCACCAGTTTCCGTATGAGTGACTGAGGTGTAAAAGCAAAATTTCGTATCATAAAATATTTACCAGATCAGAAAACCAAAAGTTTACTAACAAGTCAACAAAAGTTACTAGGGATGAGGGTTCAGGTATGAGGAGAGGTTGAAAGAGTCCAAACCATTTCCTCTGAATAGGAAATTGATGACCTTTTGGAAGGTTCAAGATGTTGAGAGGTTTTCATAGTGTAGAAAGAGAAAATCTCTTCCCTCTAACTAGTAGGTCAATGATCAGAGGTTACAGAACTGAAACCTTGGGTAAAAAGTCAAGAGGAGAGATACTTCCTTTAGTTGTCAAGACTTGGCAGACTTCAAGTTAAGAAAGGTCATTAAAAAATCGTAAGAGATCGTTGGACAGGTTACAATAAGAGGGGGTTAACAGGCAGAAAGTAGAAATGTGGGACTTGGCACAACTGGATCTTTCAAAAAGTCAGCACATAAAGAGAACCATGACACGAGTTATCATACTCCTACAAAAGAGAGAGAATTTAATAATTTTGAAGATCTGCGGAATTAAAAAAAAATCTCAAAATTGTTGCAGTGCAGGAGATCCAGCTCAAGTTCAGATCCCCTCAGTCTGGGCACCCTAGTTTGAAACCCACAATGACAACACTGCAAGTAGACTCCACAAATGTGTTGGAACGTTCTCCTCGCATTAAAACAGGATGCATCTACTCTGTGGAGCCATCAAAAACAAAACAACACCAAGGTCTTACTTTTGTAGCTTTCTCTCGCTCTAGTTTTTGAATTTGTTCCAGCAGTGGACCCTGAGATGCTGAATCCCACAAGCTCCCTGCATCACAACCTGGAACAGAAAGTGCACGCATTTTTAAAAGTAAAACACCAGAGTCTCCAAAGCTCAACATTAATTAACAAGAGTGCATCAAAAACAGGCAATCTAAATTGACAATCTAAATGCCTTCCCCCCAGCTCTGCCATTACACACACACCTGACCTGAAGAGGTGACCTGTACACTGGCCAGGGGTTCATCCTGTTTCATCACTGGTGTGGACTATCCTGAATTAGCCAGATTCATGAGACTACAGTGGAACAGGATCCTTCTGGCATGGACTTGATGGGCTGAATGGCCCGTAAGCAATGCTCCCTGTAAGTTGCACAAATGCACAGCTGTGCAGCACCTCACTAAAAGCACATTCCAACATGCTCCGTTGCATGACTTCGACTCGGTTTAAATATACTGCTCAGACTCGTCAGAAGTCCATGCAGTAACCACAAAAATTAGCAGGAACTTTGCCCACAACTGAATGACTCCTTCAGTGTCATAATGACCATGAATCTTTTTCATTCATTCATTATTAAGGCGGAGGCAAATAGGTTCTGCTTAGGCAAAGGAATTGAAGGTCATCAGGGGAGATGAGAACATGGAATGCAAAATGAAACAGATCAGCCATGGTCTTACTGAACAGCACAGCAGACTTGTTCTTCCCTTAAATAGGTGGCACAAAGCCCAATACACAGCACATGACACTAAGGGCCTACAGAGATGAATGTCGGCCACGATTATGGGAAACATTAAGACGAAACTCAGAATGACAAGCTGGCAATGTAGCAACAAAAAAAAAAAACACCACTGCCAGTCACTAAAAACACCATCACTGGCCCTGCTTGCCTGCAAGGACTAGGAGCCAAGCAGGAATTCAAGCCTACACAGAGGCAGAGGTGAAAATTTGAGAAGGAAGAGAGGATGCACATTTTACAAAGCAAAATGTGATGCAATTTGATTTGAAAATATTTATTCAAAATTAGTGCACATCATCCAACAAACCAGTCCATTGCATAACTTCAGCTGCTGAGCACTAGCCTCGATAGCACCAAACGCCACTCAAAACCTCATGAAATGTGAGTGGATCCTCACCCGAGGGCTGTGAAGCAGAAGTTGGAAGGTCCCACAGAGACCCGGTTTCAGGCACTGACATGGATCTGTTGATAGCAGGAATCAAATTTTGCTCTGCGCACCTGTGAAATGGGGGACAAAAACGAAGGTGAATTTTCAATGCTTCTTGGTTTTTTCGGGTGGGCACATGGTCACTATTAGATAAATAAAACATGTGGCACTGGAAGAAGTCCAAGCCATTGTTCATTCTTGCTTTTGGAATGAACAGAATACTATATGATCAGGGTCACTGCTTGAAGATGACTTAACAAGTCAAATTGCAATTCTCAGCACTCAAATCTGGGATGGTGTTTCACAATTCCACTCCAATCAGTGGTCGGGAAACCCCACTCAAGGGCCCAGAGAGAAAGCAAAGCAGCCACCCACTCTCACAGCTCTGGTGAAACATTAGCCAAATCCAAGAAATATTTTCAGGTCATGGAGTGCAGTTAACAAATCTTTGATCATCTATTCCACATCAATATAATTGCCCATTCAAATTACCCTCCTTTGTCACAACTCACGTGAGCTTCCATCAAATTCTGTTGACTCCAATTGTATAAATGGAAGGGTGCCAGCAGATTGGGATAATACCATTTTTGAGCAAGATTTAAAAAGTATATTTCTCTCTGGGTCTCACTTAAAAAATCTGTCCCTACCTTTTATTCACTGGGTTTGTAACAACTTAAAAATTCACCCATATATTCTGCGCATTATGTCATATATACATTTATATCAAAGCTCTCTTTACATTCATTAAATAAGGAGCCAAGAAATGAATAAATGAGAGGAGCTGGCAAGGTGAAAACCAGAAGTAGGAAGATCGATGGCAGAACAGTGCGGGTCTCGGGAGCAGTGGCAGCAAGGTGGCAAACAGCAGCAGGAGCAGAAAGGTACCAGAAGCAAAGACTGGTGCTGGACTTGGGTGGGACTCAGGAGTGGCAGCAATGAGGTTACAAAGAGCAATAAGAAGCTGATTGACTATTGGAAAACTTGTAGGGGTACTTGAGAGCGGTAGTGATAAGGTTAAAAGCAGCAGTGAGAGCAGAGAGGTCCCAGGAGCAGACAGACAAGTGGTGGAATGACTTTAAAATCGAAGTAGGACATGACATGGAAGCAGATAACTAACTGATAGGTATTTCTAGTGTCTCGGAACTGGATATTAATTTAGGCTGTAAAATGTAAAACTTCCCATAGATAATTAATATTTGACAACTTCAACACTAAATTTCTTCATTAGATAGAGTTGATGAGGTCTGGTTGTTGGTCAAACAAACAAGAAACAAACTTCTAAGCTGTACTAATGTAAAAATATGGATAAAATGAGCAACAGCTCATTTATTCTAATTAATGAAGAAACATCTGGGGAGTTCAGGCCCATGATGTGCACATCCTGCACTACATGGGAATTAAGAAATGCTTCTGGATGACATGTGCAGACATTACCTCTGACTGGAACAGCTATAGGTATATCTTAGCACAGTACTTTGCTTCCCAGTTGTTAGGGTCGAGGCTTTCACAGAACGGCTGCAGGGCATCCTGAAAGAGGAGGGTGAACAGACAGAGGCTGTGCTCCATAATGGGACCAATGGCATAGGTAAAAAAAGAGAAATGAGGTCCTGCAAGCAGACTTTGGGGAGTTAGGTCAGAAACGGATACCTTTAGATTTCTGGATTACTCTTACTGCAGGAGGGATTGCTTTAGATTCCTAAAGCATTAGGGTCATTTTGGGGAAGCGGGACCTGTATAAATTGGATGAGTTACATCTGAGTATGATTGGAACCAACGTCTTCCATTGTGCGCGTGCATGTTGGGAGGTACTTTTAACAGGTGTGGAAGGCAGAGGAAACATACACGCCTTGTGAATAGAGTGGCAACGTCGCTGGTCTGCTAATTTAGAACTGCAGGCTGGGGACATGGGTTCAAATCTATTGTAGTAACTTGGGGGAATGAGTGTTTTGGGTGGCACAGTGGTTAGCACTGCTGCCTGACAGCAGCAGGAACCTGGGTTTAATTCCACCCTCAGGCGACTGTCCGTGTGGAGTTTGCATATTCTCCCTGTGTCTGTGTGGGTTTCCTCTGGGTGCTCCGGTTTCCTCCAACAGTCCAAAGATGTGTAGGTTAGATGGATTGGCCATGTGAAATTGCCCATAGTGTTCAGGGATGCGTAGATTAGTTGGTTCGTAAGTGGACGGGTCTAGGTGGGATACTCTGAGGGTCAGTGTGGACTTGTTGGGCCGAAGGGCCTGTTTTTACATTGTAAGGATTCTATAAGAAGAGATTTAGTAGGAAAGTTAAGTGCTGAGAACGCACGGGAAAGCATCGGCAGATAGAATAGAGAGTTCACAGCAGACCAGGCAGCAGAGGGGCAGGAAAGTTGACGTTTCAGATCAGGACACTTCGTCAGAAATGCAGAGGGGGAAGGGAGCTCGGAAATAAATTAGAGACAGGAGGGGTGGGGCTGGGGAAGGTAGGTGGGATGGTGATAGGTGAGTGCAGGTAGGCAGTGGGGGAGATTGGTCAGTGGGATGGGTGGGGCGGATAGGTGGGAAGGGATGATGGACAGATTGTGTCATGTCAATGAGGTGGGGATGAGAGGGAGGCTTGGGCATGGGATGAGACCAGGGGTGGGGAGATTTTAAAACTGGTGAATTCCATAGTTTTAAAAATCATCCCTGGCCTTATCCCATGCCCAAGCCTCCCTCTCATCCCCGCCTCATTGACATGATGACCTGTCCATCTTCTCTCCCACCTGTCCGCCCCACCCATCCCACTGACCAATCCCCACCACTCCCTACCTGCACTCACCTATCACCATCCCACCTACCTTCCCCAGCCCCACCCCTCCTCTCTCTAATTTACTTACAAGCTCCCTTCCCCCTCCCCATTTCTGAAGAAGGGTGCCGACCCGAAACATCAACTTTCCTGCTCCTCTGATGCTGCCTGGCCTGCTCTGTTCCTCCAGCTCCATACCGTGCTGCCGCTGACTCCAGCATCTGCAGTTCTTGCTATCTCTAGAACAGAGGGTTTTTGTTTTAAAATACATAAATTGCAAGAAAGAACTTGATTAGGAATAAGGCCTATTAGGGACTACTGAAGCAATCTTTGTGTGGACCTAAAAACATTGGCACTGTCCTTAATAGTGTCAGTCTTCATAACGGAAAAGGATGATGCAGGTGATAGAGTCATACAGCACAGAAACAGACCCTTCAGCCTAACTCGTCCATGCTGACCTGGTTTCCCAAACTGAACTAGTCCCATTTGCCTGTGTTTGGTCCATATTCCCCCCCCAAACCTTTCCTATCCGCATATTCGTCCAAATATCTTTTAAATGTTGTAACTGTACCCACCTCTGGCAGCTCATTCGACATATGCACCAGCCTGTGTGAAAAAGATGCCCCTTCAAGCCCTTCTCCTCTCACCTTAAACCTGTGCCTCTATTTTGGACTCCACTATACTGGGGAAAACACATTGACTATTTACCTTATCAATATCCCCATATGATTTTATAAACCTCTATAAGGTCATCCCTCAGCCTCCTATGCTCCAGCGAGAAAAAATTCCAGCTTACCATTGTCACTCAAACCTTCCAGTCAGTAGTATCCTTGTAAACCTTTTTTGCACCATTTCCAGTTTTATTACATCTTTTCTATAGCAGGGCCAGAATTATATGCAGTACTCCAAATGTAGCCGTACCAATGTCTTGTACAGCTATAGCATGACAAACCAACTCCTGTACTCAATGCTCTGACTGATTAAGGCAAGAGTGCCAACGCCCAATCTCAATCATAACTAATTGATCAAGCATTAACTGCACCTTTCAGAAGAGAGTTCTAAACTTATATTTGATGTGGGGCAAGGGTTTCCTAATTTCTTTTTTTTTAAAAAAACGTTCATAAATTAGAACCAACTCTATGTCACTGAGTCCTAGACCAGTTAACCAGGGGAAGCTGCTTCTCTCTATCTTGCCTTCAGTTTCCCTCAATATCTTGAACTTTGATCAAATGCACCCATCATCTTCAAATTTCAGGGAATACAATGCTAATTTAAAAATTCAACCAGGTGAATGAACATAGTAAATCACAACTTTTATATTTGCCTCCTTTTACTTTCATCTCTCAGAACACACATGCCTGCACACTCAGTGGAAAATCAAGCAGAACCATAGAGTCAAGTCAGTCCAACAAAATTCTTCACAATAGTCTTTTGATAGAAGAGAAAGGAATCATCAAGTCAACAGGCACTTCCAGTCTATTATGGACACAGCACTATTGTCTAATGGCAGTACACCTTTAAGATACAGGCGCATGATATCACTTCCAAGCTTGTGACCTGAAAATAGAAAAGTCTCAGACTCCATCTTGGCTTAGGTCACTTGAAGCATTCTACTTATGGCAAATGAATAGCTTTGGATCCTTCAGTACCACATTACCCATGTTCCTAGTTTATGCCGTAACACAAGCATTGATGATTCAAATTCATAGCTTGCTGGAGGCCAAATACAATCAGGTGCCAAACTAATCTTAGTAAATGTTTAGTTTATGTTGATGGATTAAGAATATCACACAGGCAACAGTTTATACATGAAGTGCAAATTACTGCTGTATATCACATTGTTGCTGTCAAGTGCAGCAAAACCAGAATTTTCTAACTTTAATTTAATCTATGATTATTTGAATGTCAAACAGAACAGTTAGTGCAACTATTCCACAATGTGGTGTTTGTAGGAGGGTAAATACCATTACCTTGATTTGAGGGCCTGGATCTGCTGCAGGAACACCACAAGTTGCTGCTGTTGCTGGGGTGTCATGTTTGCCTTCTGCTGCAGTGCACACTGCACTAGTTGCTGCCGGCTACAAAGACAAGGAGGTCATTACAAATTTTGTATTCAGCTGTGGAACGTTCGTTTCTGTACCTATGAATGAGAGTGGCTGCCTAACTCCCTGGAAACACACACCCGAGGCACAAGCAGACACTGAGGGGCTAGGCATACACCACAATTAGTGGTGGAGTAAAGCTTCCTTTGCCTAGTCCAAACTTGCACTCTCTGAAGAGCAGTGCCTCCACCACTACTCTGTACTGTTGTCAGGTGATCATTTCTCAACTCCAGTCACCCAACATAGCCTCTGGCAAATTACCAAATAACAGAGTTAGAAGCTTCACACTGTGGGCAATAGGCAAGGGACAGAATCCACCCAAGTCTGATTCAAGTCAAGACATCTTAGGCCCCGGTCTTTAAGTACATAATCCGACAACAAACCCACATCAGAAACAGACACGGGGTTGAGTAATTAGAATATTTTTGAGAATGGCAAAAGTGGGGTTACAACATTAGTTCTGGAGTTCTGAAATTCAATTCAGCAAACCTGCTAACACATGGGCTGGCTAGAGAATAACCAATCAGCCATGAGCGCCATTGAGGGGCTGTAAAATCCTGACTGCTTCCCTCAGGGAAGAGATCTTATCATCTCTGTTCAGAGAGGCCTATATGGTGACTCCAATCCCAAAACTGTGTGGTGGGTTTAGGGCAGACAGATCAAACATAGCAGCAAAATGAGACCAGATAACACTGGATACTTCAATGGCTGGCCACGAGAAAGGGTCTGGGGTGGACTGGGGACTTGAAATCTTTATATCTCTAGGCCAAAAGCAGACAGTGTATTTACCAGCTGAGGAATAAAATATTTCACTGCTCTGCATTCAGTTGCACTTCAGGCAAAACACTGTCAGTACTCAAGCCCAGGCCTCAGGCTGAAGGTGAGGCAGCGAGGAAATTTGTAAATAACGCCAAGTATTTTGCTGACATCAAGGAGGTTGCATGCTACACCAGATGTGGTCCTGAGTCAGGGGTTCTGTATGTAAATGTATCTGTGGTAAGCAAAGTTGACAACTGCCCACTGAACCAAATTCCCTGAGTCACGTAAGTAAATGACTGATCTTACACCTGATTCAATAGAACCAAGCAAAAATCTAAAGCCAATTCAGAAAATCTGGGAATAATGTAACAACTGATGTTTAAGGCTCTCTTTGCATGTGTGGATGGACCAATCTGTTTCATTTCAAGTGAACAGATCTTCAATGGCAACATGTACAGTAGTGTTAGTCTATAGAAAGCACAATTGCTCTAATAAACCTGGAAAACCATAGTTCAGAACCAGGTCAAACAGCCAAGAACGAAGCTTCTCTCTTTTCCACAAATACAGGTTACTAAGTGAATCCAGATCCAGTCACAGTGGGCCCTCCTCGCTCACACCACAATTTCCTAAGCATCTCAGAGACCACATAAATGCATCATGGGAGAAATAATTAGATGACATTAGTGCAGAAGAAAGCTGAAGTCCATCTCTGTCAGCCCGTGATTTGCCTTAACTTGGGCATGCTACAGGAAGCTAATAGAGCAAAAGGTGTTCCATTACTCAATGTTAACACCACACATACCAGCCAACACAAAGGATTCGTGAAAGGTTGGATTGAACAGTGCAAAGACCACAGCAGCAAATGACTTGATGTCATTATGTAGCAGTGGCAGAAGAGTTTTAACTTGGGCCAAGAATCATCTACTGTAGCTGGAAAACAAAACACCAGGATGCCACTTAGAAGCATAGGCTCGGAGCTCATCTGCGAGGCCTGAAAAGGCACTTTGGGCCAGGTTTAGATCAGTACAGACTCTCTATGGATTAACCTAGCATCATCCCCATCTCAAGTGGATGCCCTGAATTTAAAGTAATATTGTCAAACCATTGCAATAACATCGCTGGTGTCACACTGCGGTGGGGAAGTAAACGGCTAGATGAAAGATATCGCAGGTCTAGGGGTGTCTTATAGTCCACAGAGTTCAAGATACCCACACTTCTTACCTGTTTATGAGTTGCAGAAATTGCTGGTACTGAAGCTGATGGTACAAGGCAGCTGCCAACTCCCGCTGCTTTTTCAGTCTCCCCTGGTCCATATCGCCCTACCAAGACCAAACAAACTCCATTTGAAAAAAATAAACTCCGAGCTCTCCGCCTTTCGAACCAACATGCGCTTTGAAAAACCCAATTCTGCAAATAGATTGCTCGGTCACCTTTACATTTAGGTTTTACCACAGGCAAATATTTGTACTGGTTAGTCTTGTGAGACACCTGTGAAATGCAGATAGGGAGAAAAATAGAATGAAAAAGTGGCAGACTATATTAAAGGCTGAAACTTTACAAATAAAATTCAAACTAAAGGTCTTTATCTGAAACTATCAATTTGCTAACTTACTGGCCAACTGGGAGCACTGACGGGCGGAAGATTGTCAAGTAAGCTCATTCAAGGGTCAGGGAAGAGATCATGGCATTGGAATTCTGTTGGTTCCAATCTGGATTGCTGTCCAGGCATAGCCCACATAGACACACACCTTATTTGGTCACTGGACACTGCCACCAGCGACAATGGTACTGGTTCGATTTGCACGTCCTTATTTAACATAAAATGGCAGAGGGTGGATATTATTTCAAGAGGATACATTAGTGATTTCATTTTGAGTCTTGGATAGTACTCCCTGTCACATACTGATGTCTAATTTTACAGCCAATGTGTGCCTCCTACCTGCTGACATAAAGTAGCATTTTCAGCAGGGCTGTGAGGAGACCACAATTCCACTTGTCCGTTCTCTTGGTTGCTTGGTTGATGGCTTACAGAGTAAGGGACAAGCTGTTAAGAAAGGGAGGATAAGGACCCCCAAAAAATTACTGTCAACTTTACTCCTAATGCGAAGAATGCAACTGTCAAGTGGCAACCTTAAAAACAACAATCAGCTACCAGAACGATAGAAATGTCAAGTGATTAGAATGATAATTATGATGCTGCAGTCCACAGGGGCATTAGCACATCAGACCATTGATTTGGGCAAAGGATAGCCCAACCCTCCAAGGGAGGTGGTTACCATTGGTTATGCACTCACTGAGGCAAGGGGGGCGTAGCAAAGAGAAATACAATTATGAGATTACACTGCGAATACACTCTTCACGCGAGGGTGCCACTGAACAACTTAAAAAAGGTATGTAGTTAGCTGAAAAGCACCAAGCAGTCTGGTGGCTATTAAAAATGCTATAAAAATGCAAATCATTTCACTGTAGGGGACCAGTTGCTTGAACTGCCAAGATTAAACAGAATAAGGTGGGGCACACTGGGCAGAAACTCAAAGGGAGGAGACAAGAATGTCAACCTGCTCACAAACAATGTTACTAAACGATTTTTAATATTCAACAATCTAACCCAGCATGCTTTGTCAACAAGGCTGAGAACAAATGGTTCTGAAATCTGACACCCACTGCATATGTGTGGCCAACAAACCAAACCATTGCAACAATTAGACAATCATGGTTTGTGCCACAACTTCAGTATTTTATGTACAATCTGTATCTCAACTAGTTCCCTCAGTCTAAACCATGGAATGGCTCCACAAATTCACAGTATCAGCAATTCAAGAAAAAGGATAAGAGAGAAATCACTATTATGTCTTCACTTAAATCAAGTTGGTGAAATATGCTGACGAGAGAGAACTCTCAGCCACCCATGTCAAAAATTAGCCACAATGAAATTCATGGCTGTTTTTCCACAAAATTCCATCTCCCACTTAAGGGACACAGAAATTGGTAGTCACGCTGATGCCTAGCTTGTTTTGTTTCTATCTCCAACAGGAAACAAATCATCAACTTGTTAAATAAAGGGGAAAATGAATACACCAGTTTATGTTTCTGAATGCAGCACTGGTATCAGTCAACCTAGAAATCATTTCACTCCATAGGTCTGCTCCCCACATTTACAAGTATTCTACAAAAAAGTAGATTATAGCTTGGAGATAGCTCTGACCTCAGACCATGGTGCAGAATGCTACTGAATCAGAACCTGAAAATTCAATTCTGCGCCCTATATTTTTCTGGGGGTATCTGCTGCCCGAGGAGACTACAACATTAGTTGGGAACTGATTGGGGCTGTCATCAAATTATCATTGCATTGGTCCCAAATGCTCAAGTGCCTGCAAGTTGGCCACTCATCACTGCACAGAGAGTTGAGAGCTCAGCTGAACAGCACTGAACGGGAGACATATTTTGGCAATGTTAAGAGGAAGTGGCTCAGAAAGGGTCCACCATTGCAAGTTATGCACGTGGAGAACCTGGCTCAAGTCAGTGCAGCGATAGGGGAGGCAAAACAAAAAGAGAGGGAGTGGTGGGGCATTACCACTCACCTTCTCCCCTCCACTGACCCCATTACAATGTAATCTTGCAGAAGAAGAGTATCTGCATGTCCAAGTTGTGCATACAGATAGCATACAGGGCATGACAAAAGAGTGTGTAAAAAAGGAATGTGGACTTTAGACTAAGCTCACTACACTCAACATCTCTCTCTTCCCCAAGGAGAATCAAATCCCAGCAAGGAATGCTTACTTACCAGCAATGGTGGAGGAGAGGGGCCAGGAGCAAAAGGCACTCTTCCCCACATCTTAATCACATCCCCCAGAGGCTGGAAGCCCTCATCACAACCCCGTTTAACCAAGAGAGACATGGGAAAATATCCAGCTTGGAACCAGTCAGCCATTTCCTGCGTTGTAAACGGACCTGATAAAAAGTTAACATTCAGTAGTTTTAGGCTTCCCCGAATTGGAGAAAAGACAAGCAATTAAGTTTCTGCCCCACTGTTAAGCCAGACAACTAATTTGTGTAGGGGAGAGGAGAGAAAGCGTCCCAGATTTGCAATATCAGTCAGGTGAACAGTCTTTCGAAGGCATATTACACACATTGTCCAGACTTTCATTTAGTACCAGGGTAATCATCAAAAGCAGTGACCTTGCCAGACACTTTCTACGTTGCTTCAGAAGGTTTGATGCCAATCACAGCAAGACTATAGACTCCCTGAGTGAGGATAACAAAACCCGGACAGGTTGGAAATCAGGCATGCAACTTTGTAGCCTGTGCAGTTGGATGGTCTAGAAAGTGACTTGAATGCTCATCTTGTTACCACACCAAGAACCGCACCAAGATACTCCCTCTTTCTTTTTAAAATGGCCCACTTCCACTCAGTTTCTTACCTTGGATCTCTCCCTGCGGATCCTTATAGAACCATTTCATGGCTGCCTCATGTGAGAGGGGTAAGGCAGCAGCAGCTCGGTTCCTCTGATCTTGCATCATCTCCACGAATCGTTCATCGTCCAGGGAGTTGTCGTGTAGCGACGCCACCATTTTCTCAGCCTCCTGTCACACAGTGATTGCAGAAAAGTCACATCAACATTGAGAGATGCTGGCACTGCTTATTTGAGGACCAGCTTTACATTTTAGAAATCGGGCTCAATTTTTCAGGAACGAAGAAAAGGGGCAACACTCTTGCGCTTAGGAACATTGACCCACATCGAAAAGTTCAGCAACCCTCCAGGGAAATAAATACTTTGTATTGCTGTATGGAAATTGGCTGCTGAGTTATCTGCATCACTATTAGGGCTACTTTCAAAATTACTTCATTAGCTGTAAAGCATTTTGGGATGTCCTGAGGTTGGGAAAGGCACTATATAAATGCAAGTCTTCCCTTTATTACAAGCTCCACTTTGGAGAGTCCACAGTCAAGGAAGATCCTTTTGACTAAAGTATCAGCAAGAATTTGAGACCTTAAATTTTAGAAATCCATCTACTGGAGCAGGTAAAAGGCAGCCTGCAATTGAACCATCATTTGCAGCTTCCTGGATTTTCTACCTGGAAAGAACAAGCCGGTTGTGCAAAGTGTCCAACCCTCTTCCTCACCTGTTCAAAACGTTTCATCCCGTCGTCGTCGTCATTGTCCACTGGTGCGAATTCGGCAACGGTGCTGGGATAGGGAGGAGAAGAGGAAGGCGAGGACGATGATAATGTGGACACTGTTGCAGGGCTTAGCTGAGCAGGTTGGCCCAGATTCACAGCATCTGTGTGGGAAGCAAAACACGACCAAGTGAAACAAAAAGGTCAGAACTCAGAACAGTTTATTTCCCCAAAGGAAAGGGAGAGTGAAGAAAAATAGCAATTAAAGGACAAAAATGCTGGATAACAACACCTAAAAGATGACAGACAAATGGTCTGGGTTATCTCTTATATAATAAGGTGTAGAGCTGGATAAACACAGCAGGCCAAGCAGCATCTGAGGAGCAGGAAACCTGATGTTTCGTGCCTAGACCCTTCTTCAGAAACGTCAGCTTTCCTGCTCCTCTGATGCTTCATGGCCTGCTGTGTTCATCCAGCTCTACACCTTGTTATCTCGGATTCTCCAGAATCTGCAGTTCCTACTATCTCTGGGTTATCTCTAGGTTTGTTCCACTTTTCATAAACAGGTCGCACCTGAAATGCCCTTTCTAGCTACCAGTCTTATGTATTTCCAGTATTTTCTGCTTTCATTTCCAATTTCCAGGGTTTTTTTCTGCACCTCAATAATAAATGAAGGCCTATCAGCAAAGCCATTCTTACTCCGCTCCTATAGCTGGCTAAAGATTGTGTTGGTAGAACCACATTTAAAAGAAAACATTTTAGAAGTTGCTAGGATATAGGGAAAGAGTAGGCGAGTAACGGTAACTGGAAAGCATCCAAATAGTCTGTGCAAATTTAATGGCTGAACAGCCCCCCTTTCTGCACTATATTATTTTATGCTTTCATGAAAACTGCTAACAACTTCTACACCGTTCCACCCAATCTAGCTATCATTCTCTTCAACAAGTGGTGCGATTTACTAAAATTGTCAATTAAAATATTCTCATTTTAACAAACTGGAAATTTAAAACAAAGGAAAAAATTCCTTCAGAACAGAGGCTGGACAATGGGTCTGCTACATTTGGGTTTATATGCCCAAGGGCTGGAGCCCACTAGGCTGGTTATAGTGGCTACTGGCTGAAAATGCCTTGAGACACCAAGTGATCATAGAAGTTGCAATATAAATACAGGCGGTTTCCTTTTTAAATCGGCCCACACAGTTGAGCTGACATTGTAATGTAGGACTGAGGGAGTGTTGTACTCCCAAAAGAAGAGTCTTTGTGACCAATATTTTAGGCAATAAGTACATACATGAATAATGTTTTTAGAAGGGTTGTGAAATTAAAGCCAGTCCTCGAGAACTACCAATACTAACAATGTCTCCAGTGGCCGCTGGCCATAGTTCTGAAATCAGCAGCAAACAGCTGTCCTGTGCTATCTATTTCTTGACAGTTTAAATGACAGTACAGCTATTATGATTAAAAAATCCAGGGGATTGTTCCCACCAAACCCACTCTCAAAACGGTCATGAAGTAGATGGAAAATTCAGGATCACTGGGGCAAAAGTCAGGAAGCAACTCTTGCATGCAATACATTTAATAACCAAGGAACTCTTGGCTGAAAGTTGGGATCAATACCTGTATGTATACAATGTGCCTCTGAACTGCCTCCTCCAGTGGATGTTAAACGTTCCAACAGGAGACAGAGATTCTATTTGTACCCTGCCCAATGTTACTCTCTCAAGATAACCAACCTGCCATTTCATTGCTGTAGTGACATTTCCCGTTACAGCTGTGACTACTCTTTAAAAAACTATTTCATTGGTTTTGAAATACTTTGGGACATCCTGTGGCTGTGAAAGATGTTCAATAAATGCATGTCTTCCTCTCTAGATAACCGTCAGTGCAGGGACTGTTTGAAATGTGCCAATATCATATAAGTATTTACAACACCATGCTGATCTTCTCCAAGGTCCAGTTAGGCATGCAAATACTGGTGTGGAAAGTTAAGCCCAACGCATTCAAAAAACATTCGAGTCATAGGGTCAGAGCCACAGGAGCACAAAAGAAAGCCAGTTAGTCCATCTAGTCCATGCTGGCACCCTATAGAGCGATACAGAATTTTTAGATTATACTGAACAGATCACTAAATGTTTCACAATTGACTGATCCCCTGTGAGGACACAATTATCAGCTCTTCCTCAAGAGATGGGGAAGGGGCCTGGGGAGTATCACAGCTCTTGCTGTTGTGACAAAAGTACTCAAAACTAGGAATATGCATATGGGGGTGCTGTTACATGCTTTGTGTGTCTGGAGATTCCCGTATTCTCAAGATGTTAGTGTGCTGCCTGGAATCAAGCCAATACTTTGACAAATTGGGAGAACTGAAAAGCTGCTGAAAGGTAAAAGGAATGGTGGTTCTTGAAGTGACTGGATATATATTTAAACATATAAGACACAAAATCAGACGCAAGATACAAAATTCCCTCCAATCCTTTTGCAAGCTGTGTGTTGCACACTGTGGTCCCCTCAAGGTGGCTGCATGACTTTGCTGCATACATTTTGAAAGAAAACTGTGCGTGGCCCATCTGTTGCTGACTGCTATGGAGCCATCCAACCATACAGCTTAGAGGGGGCAAACTGCAGACAATATGTATTATCTCCAATACAGTAGATTTTCAATGGTAACTAAAAAGTGTGTATGCGTTGAGAGGATGAATGAACTCCACGTCAGTTTTTGCATTCTTTTGCGCATCAACCAAATCCAGTTGATAACAGAAATAGAAAATACTATACATTATTAAAATCTGAAAGAAGGAATGTTCAATGGTGAGCGGGCGTACACAGATTGAATAATGGTACAGGACTGCACATTTCCAGACTGATTACATTAGGTGTAAAGCTCTGCAGGTTGCCCTTACATGGACTTCGATAACAATTAGTCATTATCAGAATTTCATACCATCAGCAGGTTTGCTCTGTCCTTGAGCATCTGATGCAGAGTCTGCCATGTCAGGTTCTGCCCTGTGCGCACTGGGTTCACACTCTTCTGGTACCGTGAGAAACACCTCCTGGGCCTGTGACTCTGATGGAGAGGATGACGAGCATGATGGCGATATTTTGCCATTGCAGACCTCAGCTGGAAGATCTGTTTTGTCTATTGTGAAGACAGAAGTTATTCAGGAGCGAGATCCTTGAGGGCTGGCAGTCACATGGATTAAATTTGAAGAGCTCCACAAAATGGAGAGGGAGAAAAGTGAAATCACTGCCTCAAGCAGTCCTTGATCATTTGTCAATTTGCAACACGGATGAATGTATGAGGGAGACAGCAAAAGCAATACTGTAACTGGACTAGCTACCCGCACCTGGAGTACTGTATACAGTTCTGGTCACTCCACTATAGGAAGGATGTTATTAAACTGGAAAGGGTGCAAAAAATATTTACAAAAAACTGTTACTGAAACTGGAAATAAGGAGAGGCTGGATAAGCTGGGACGTTTCTCCCTGGAGAGTAGGGTGTTGAGGGGTGAACTTATCCAGATTTATTAAATCAGGAGGGGCACGGGCAGGGTAAACAGCCAAAGTTTTTCCCCCTTAGGAACGGGGAGTCCAGAACCAGAGGGCATGGGTTTAAGGTGAGAGGGGCACGGATGAGTTAGTAAAGGATGTTTCTGTGCAGTAAGACTATAACTCCAAGTTAGCAATGAGCTGTGATGGGACTTCTGCTTAAAGATGAAAGTCAGGGGTTATGACAGCTCAATTGTTAGATTACCATTTCATCTCACCCATCTGGTCACCCGGAGAAGCTTAGAGTACTGTTCAGTGCAAAGGAAATCTATTCCTTGTACTGCCACTTGGTGCCCTCAGCACCCTTCAACACTGCAATCTGGAGCGCAAATTTATTCTTTCTGTTTGGCCCTGTAGGGCCAGGCACCTTGCTGTAAATCAATACATTTACTGCTCACTTGGTTATCAGGGCTGCTCCAGTGCAGTCCTATTTGCACTATCACCCCCCTCAACGGTTGGGCTTGACATTCATCTGTCTCCACGGTTTCCCTCACCCCCCTACTCCATGCCGTCAAGTGCTTGCATTTGGCTCAAGTGAGTAGCAGGGGCAAGGTAAGATGGAGGGAGAAAAACTTGAGTTGCTTGCAGTGAGAAAATATTGAGGTACAGTGAATCCTGAGTACGAACTGAATTGTTGTTATCTGTAACACTGACGCTAGATGCTAGCACTAACACGTATTAGTCTGGTTACCTGCATCCTCATTTTCGGTCCTATCAGGCTCTTTATAGAATTCCATATCATATTCATTTTCAGGTCGTTCATCCAACTCATCTACTCCTCGAAATTCCAGCTCCTGCTCTTCAGGAATTGGTTCTTTGGAACCTTTCTGTTTAACACAGCAATTAAGAATCAGCTAGGAAAACAACACAAGAAACTAGATGGGTGCTCAGCAGAAAGCTGCAAGAAATACATTAAACAGAAATTACAGAACAGAAACAGGTGATTAGGCCCAGTAGGTGAGAGCTGGTGTTTGCACTGTACATGGGACAGTTCCATCTTAACTCATCTCTTTTTATTTTCTTCATATATGAGCACTAGCTTCCCTTTAAAGTGTGCTGATGCTACTTGCCTCAACTAACTTGCAAAGTAATAAGTGCTTTATTAATACTTTACTTAGAGCATCACAGAGCCTGACAAATAAACAGGAGGCCAGTCAGACCCTCTGATTTGCATTTTAACTCCATCCAAACAGATGGGTTCTGCAATACCGAATGTCCTTGCCTAATATAATTCCTTGGTCCTGAGATTTTCAGACTTCCAGGCGAAATGTTGGGGAAGACTTTCAGATTTCTGCTCCCTTCCAAATGAGGAAGGGATTCCTGAAGGCTCTAATCTGATGTTTCTGTCCTCCCTCGTTCTGGAGTTCTCCCACCAAAGAAAATAGCTTCTTCCCATTAATGCAATCAATTCCAATCAGAATCTCATTTTCTTCGATCTTCTAAAGGAATAGAGAGAGTCCGCAGGCATACAAATTAAGAGCAGGAGGCGGCCTTTTGAGATTGCTGTCTCTTTGATCAGTTGCAACATACCTTTACAATTAAATCCTATTAGCCCCACTATCGATATGGTGAACTTTTTGCCCTCTCACTTAAAGACCAAAAGACCCTGATGTGACTTAAACTCTGCATTGGATCTAGCACACCTCAGCTCAACACACTGGCACATATCAGTTGGTCCTGGACAAGGGAAGGTTAAAGGTGTGCAAATTAAATACGGCTCCAGTGCACACGTGCAAAAATGGCACTGGGTGAGCGCAAGACAGGAGTCAACTGTAAAGTCAGTCCATTAATTTCTATCCACCCCTAACTGCTTGGGCAAGCCACTGAGAGATAATAGCGTATTGAGAATGTCACTATACAAGCAAATCAAAGGCCTAAACTGCTTAATGAACTTGGGACACTGATTCAAATTCCATCAAGACAGGTGATGGGATTTAAATTCAACTAATAAATCTGGAATTGAAAATGACCCAGGTAATGTTCTGGGACCTGGTCTCAAATCCCACCATGGCAGATGGTAGGATATAAATTCAATAGAAATGGAGAATTAGGAGTCTAATGATGATTATAGAATGACTGTGGATTGGTGTAAAAATTCATTTGGTTGGCTCTGTGATTTCAGGAAGAAAATCTGCCATCCTTACCTAAGCTACACAATCTTACCTACATATTACCCGAGACCCACATCAACATGGTGGACTCTGAAAGGGATGGACAATAAATCCAAGACCAACACCCCATGAATGAATATAAAACAAAATCATAGCGCCCGTGGGAAAATACACCAGTAAAACTCAGGGCCACCAGATTTAAAGGGAGGGGTGTGGAGGTCTCATTCAACAGAAATAATTACACATTTGTCTATTCAAACCCTAGACGGCTGAGAAAACATTGCCTACAGCACATGCACAAAAACACATCTGCAAAGTACATCTAGTCCTCTGTCATCCCACTTGAAGGGTTAAACGTTCTGTACCTTTAATGACATGAAAGCTCCAGATGAATCAAATGTCCCCATTTCCTCTTCTGCATCTTCTAGGCACCACTCGGGTAAATTATCCTTCTCATCCTCGTAGCTTCCACTACCTGTTCTGCCCCTTCTGTAGGTACGCTCCTCATCTCGTTCCCGGAAGTCAAAGTCAAACCGCCGCCGCCGATCAGCATGGTCCCTCCAGCCTGCCGAGCGAGGACCATCTGGAATAATGGACAAGGTTCAGAGTGGAGACACACACACACAATGGCATGGACATATATCAGCTTTTCAATTGAGAAAAAGTACAAAGACCTCATGGTATCCAGTGCCAGTTTCTAGCATTACAGTTGATACAGTAGAAATCAATGCAGAAAAATATCCTGCAAGTTTGTCCCATCAAATCCCCGGATGGGTTTATATACAGAACAGCTCATATACAGTTTAAAGCTTGCTCTTCTTCTGCATATTAGCCAAGATAGAAGTATCTATTGTACCTACAAAACATCTCCCCTTTGAAGTAACTTCAAAGTCAAATTTCAAACCATATGACGACTAATGATAGAGCCGATGGAGAAGGTCCAAACTAATTTCCTCTGGGCACCCAGCCAAAAGGCAGAGGGCACTTTACTCATCACATCAACTTTCTTTGGCTGCACCTTCCAACCTGTGACTTCTGCTGCCATTAAGTTCGCCTTGGAAGTCTGACACTACCGTGATTTGGAACTAAATTCACTGGTTTCTTTACTGTTGCTGGGTCAGAACTCTGGAACTCCCTCCCTACAGCATCATGGATGTAGCAGCACAAGACTGCAGTTCACAGCCACAGCCTTAGGGGCCATAAAAAGCTTTTGTTTTCCTTCCCAATGTTGACCATATTCTCCATTTAATCAAAAACTTAAAAACTGCAAGTTTACAGGGACCTTTGTTTCCTATCATTCAATCACGACTCAATCCTTCTTGGTTCCATAGGGCACCAAAATCAAAAGACCTGACTAAATCTCAAGTTAGACATGCTTACTTTCTTACCCGTAGTCACGCCATTGACTACATAATCAAATATGCTCTTTATTCAGGTATGGCCTCCTTTCACAAAGCCACAAACTTTCAATGCTATGCAAATCAGTTCTGGGCAACTGACTTCATCACCTGGTCTACATTCCAACAATTTCCAGTGAAATCCTTTGTCAGTCCCCAGTACTATCCACTTTTGTTACAGATGCTGAATACTTAATTGCCTCAAGAACTTTGGTGTCTGTTCTTCATTCATATATTTTAATTCACTCCAAGGTTATTTAAACCTGAAGCACCAATTCTGTACAGACAGATGGCTTTATTATGCTGTTACTGCCCCAACATTTAACCAAAGGATACATTTAACATATATTAGCCATTTCCACATCTTTGTGACCATAATTCCCTGTACAGAAAAGTCAGTGACTTCAAACCTTTGCAGCTTTTCCTTCATTGCTACTGTACTTAGATTTCTTATTGTCTTTACTTTCCAGTTATTATTAAATTGAAAGCAGTTTAACCAGCTCTTTTACATTCTCGAGTTTGTCTTCATAATTCTTAGTACTGTGCTTCAAACAAATGCACTTAGAATGTCTTCACTTTACTGTTAATAGTTTTAATCACTTTCAAATCCTCCAGAAAAGTCTTTGTCATTCACAATTCCTATTAAAACTTCTGGTTACACAGATCATTGCCTCCCCCTCCATTATTTCAAAGTATGTTTCAGCTATGTCAGTTTAGTACCTGTCTGTACATTTCCTAATGACTGTCTTTAAGAAATTTAACAGCCAGGTGTTTTTACTCTTTCCTTACCTTAAGGTCATGACCTATAATTACAGCCCTCTGCCCATCCTAGTCCTTAATTCGACTGTGAATCCTGCTATAAAAATTTCCTTACTATTGCTACGTCAATCACTGCAAAAGGTACTTGAAAAACACTTGGCACAAGTTGGAAATAGGCCTTCTGGCGTACCTGGACTCGGGGGCCGCCACCTCTCGCCTTCTCTTCTTGCTCCGGCTGTCCTCCAGCCTCCGTCTTCCTCTTCACCATTTTGTTCTTCTCGAATGGCTCGCCAATTCTCGCTGTCGGAACGTGCAAAATCCTGCTTGCGTGACGTGGGAGCTACTTCCTCAAACCCTACCCGTACTTAAAGGAAAGAGGAGGAGAAAAGGAAGAAGGAGGAGGAGGAGGAAGAAAAGGAGAAGAAATATTGGGGGGAAAAGGGAAAGAAGATAAAGTCAGACTTTTAATCCCATTTGTTGAAGTAGCAGGCAGGTGGAAGCTTGGGTCATTTCTACAGACAGAGCACAGGTATTCTACAAAGTAGTCACCCGGCCTGTGTTTCGTCTTCCAATGTACTGTACCAGGTTTCTTGATATCAAGTAGTGAATCAAATCAGCTGACAACTGGCACCTGTGATGGTGGGAATCTCAATCAAAATGGATTGCCCACTCAGCACGTGCGGCGGAGGATGGCTACAAATGCATGTTTTTTTTACATATTAATGCACAGGGCTCCTTTTATCATTGTTAATAGGGATGTTTGTGGAGGCTCCTCCAATTAGTTGTTTACCTATCCATCACTGATCATGACTGATTAGCATATCAATCATCACAACAAGCTAGGCAATCACTATTAATGTCTTTGTTGCCTGCGAGGTGGATAGGGAAGAATCACTCTCTAAAACCTCTGCTGCTTTTGAGCATCCATCTACTGGAAAGCTGTCAGCCGACAGCCGAGGGGCTCCTGCCTTAAGAATGGCCAATGGGACTTTTAACTAGCCCAACTAGACTTCTAACTTGCTTAGCCAACGTTCTAACTTGTTCAGCCAAAGGGTTTGCATTTAACTTTAACACTGAAATTTCAAGAACCATTATGTACAGAAGACATTGAATATTAGACATTGATCTAATTCAGAAAACAAGTCTCCCCAATAGTACATAAAATTTCTTATCAACTTGTAAAAACATAGTCTCAGAGGGGATGCAAAATGAAACTTATTTCCTCAATAGTTCAAACCATACCTCCATCTCTACGTCCAGGTTTTTCAAATCTTCTGTCACCTCTGTGGAATACAAAGAATTTGGAGTTGGAAAACAAATATCCAAAGCAGAGAATTACTAAGAATAAAAAAACTGCCTTATGATTGGTTAGCACTGCCTGCCATACTCGAGCTCTCAGCCAGCCGTACTAGTATGGAACTACCACATACTGTGGTGAGAGCTTTGGAACTTCCCATAGAATCCCTAGTGTGGAAACAGGCCGTTCAGCCCAACAAGTCCATGCTGACCCTGAGCCATCCCACCCAGACCCATCCTGCTATAAACCACCTAATCTACACATCCCTGAACACTATGAGCAATTCAGCATGGCCAATCCACCTAGCCTGCACATCTTTGGACTGTGGGAAGAAACCAGAGCACCCGGAGGAAACCCATGCAGACACGGATAATGTGTAAACTCCACACAGACAGTCACCCAAGGGTGGAAATGAACCTTGCTTGGTCCCTGGCACTGTGAGGCAGCAGTGCTAACCACTGAGCCACTGTGCTGCCCTTCAATTTATATGCACAACTTTGAATGTTATTTGTTAAGAGTTTGGGTTTCTGTTTTATTTGGACTTAGTAACTGGTGGATTTTCTATGTCTGAAGTTAATCATTAACTTTGAACTATTTCTGCAGCCAGGGTAATTTCTTTCAAAAGCAGCTTTTGAGTACTGGCTTAACAGTAATTTTTTTTAGCACTGCTAATGGACTTGTTTATTTCAGATTGTTTTGCAATCCTGCAAGGTAAATAATGAAGCCTCAAGGTATGTGAAAATAAAACAAAGAACTGCGGATGCTGAAGATTTGAAAATCAAATTGGTGGGGAAACTCAGCAGGTCTGGCAGCATGTGTGAGAGGAAAGCAGAATTAACATTTTAAGTTCAGTGACTGTTCATCAGAACTGTTAGCACCTAGGACAAAAGAAAAGCTGAATAAGTGATAAGAACAGCTAAGAGCAGGGAAAATACGTTAGCTGTGCTAGATGCAACCTGTAGAATTTGATAATGGGCCTTGCAGTATGCGGGAACAGGCGACTGTGCTAAAAGCAACCCATGTACGACTGGGCGTGAGGTAGGGTTTTAAAAAACGTGGAAAGATGGAATCAGATTCTAAAGTTATTGAATTGATGTTGAGTCCTGGAGGTTGTAGCAGAAAATGAGATGTTGTTCTTTGAGTCTGCGCTGAGGCTCAATGGAACACTGCACTAGGCCTGCAATGGAAATGTTAGCATGGTAACATGGCGTGTTGAAGTAGCAGGCAGGTGGAAGCTCGGGGTCATTTCTACAGACAGAGCACAGGTGTTCTACAAAGCAGTCACCCAGCCTGTGTTTCGTCTTCCAATGTACTGTACTAGGTTTCTTGATATCAAGTAGTGAATCAAATCAGCTGATGACTGGCACCTATGATGGTGGGAATCTCAATCAAAATAGATTGCCCATGCAGCACGTGTGGCAGAGGATGGCTAAAAATGCATCAGTTTTTTTTTCACATACTAATGCACAGGGTTCCTTTTATCATTGTTAATAGGGATGCTTGTGGAGGCTCCTCTAATTAGTTGTTTACCTATCCATGGCCGATCATGACTGATTAGCTGATCTCAATCATCACAACAAGCTAGGCAATCACTATTAGTGTCTTTGTTGCTTGCGAGGTGGACAGGGAAGAATCACCCACTAAAACCTCTGCTTTTAAGCATCCATCTACTGGAAAGCAGTCAGCTGACAGCCAGAGGGCCTATAGCTGGCCAAAGCCTTAATTAGGCTCTTGCCTTAAGAATGGCCAATGGGATGGAGTGCTGAAGGTCTGCTGAGACCAGGGAATGACACCAATGCTAGACTCAGATCTTTAAGGGAAGGAAATCAGAAAATGCAAGCAACATATGCTTTTCTAGAAACCAGTGAAGCAACAACAGGATTAATGGATTTGAGTTCTGTGCAGTTATTTCATTTTGTGCCTGAACCAATTCCCACTTCACCATTTAGAGTTTCAAGACGTCATCCAGTGCCTCTGTATCCAAGTTGTCGCATTTATGATAATGGTGTAACAATTAAAATGTTCCTCAGGAATTGATTAATTCTGCGGGTTAGTTTATTTAAAACAGAAAAGCACATATGCAGTCACAATTGCATGTACAAGTTACAAACCCTCAGTAGACAAACTGCCAGGCAGAATCGCAACACTATAAACACAGGACGTGGAGCACTTAAAAGGTGAATTCTCTTAAAGGCAAGGTACACTTACAACACAACAGTCAGTTAGAAAGTTCGTGGCATCAGATTCTTTCTCCTGATATTATTCATATCTCCTTACATTAAGCCTGTACAGCAGCTGCCATGCAAGCATAATCTCATAGCGCAGCTGAT